GGGGAATTCTGGGAGTTGAAGTCCACTCATCTTAAAGTGGCCAAGTTTGGACAACACTGGCCTAGCCTATTACCTTTTCCAAACTCTGATAATCTCCATGTCCTTCCACTTCCCGCCGTTTTGATGCTTCAGCCTCCAGTTTTGAAAAATGTGCAAAAAGCTGTTTAAATTTGAATTCTAGAAGAAAACTGAATTATGCAAAGTAAATTCATACAAAGTGGGCTTAATTTGCATTTGTTATTGTTAGTTGCCAAAGTTGGGGGAGAGATAGCTGGAGAGTATATCAAGTTTGTGCATCCAGTCAGAGTAATGTAACCCAAATAGGACTTATAAACTTCCTTAGAAAATAAAAATGATGAGTAGTTTTAGTTCAGTGCTTCATATTTTTGCCTTCATTAAGCTGTGGATATACTTCCAAACAGCAGCATATCCACAAATTATATAGGCAAAAATATGAAATATGTTTTCCCTTTATATTTCTTACACATTCAAATATGTAGATATGTTTTAATTTGTTCATGTTTTTTTTTCCTTCCCTCCTCAACCCCAAGAAGCTTATACAACAGAGGCACTATTATATCTATCACAATTGCCCTGCAGAAAGTTGATTATGGCTGTAGGACAGCCCAAGAAATAGAACTAAATAAGGGACTTACAAAAATACCAATGTAAACTCGACAAACTGTTCAGCAAACTAAAGTAGATACAGAGTGGGGGGAAAAAACCAGTTTACAGGCTAATTGGGTTGATTTGATCCCTCATGCAAAATCACAGCCTTTGTTTTAGAGATTGCTGGAATCTCGTCTGATAAAAGAAAAGATGTGATTCATTGGGACTGCCTGACATATTTGCTGTAGTGCAAGTAATTAAAGTAAAGTGGATAGCATAAGCAATGTAGAAGAGCATGTCCTACCATTATCTCTATCTCATCTAATCCACAAAACACATATGCTCAATGAAAAGACTACTTCACTTTCATCCTTTAAGAGCAGCTGATGGCAAAACATTTAAACCAGCCAATATAAAAAGCCTTTTGTTAATTTGGGGCTGAAACTCATTTGTTAAAGCGGGATATCGCATAGTGGTTAAAATGTAGGACTGAATCCTCATTAAGCCATGCTGCTCAGAGAATTGTGAGGATAAAATTGGGAGAGGAATAACATCTAGTCTTCTTCCTTGGAAGAAAGATGGGATACAAATGAAAAAATAGTAACACTTTGCTTGTAGAAGGTCCCCTGTTCAGTTCCCATTCATAAAGGCCCCAGGTAAGGGAGATGAATTTAAGCTTCTGGTGAGACGAACAATACCATTTCCTATAAACTTTGACTTTCTTCATGTGTCCCACTCCACCACTAACCACAGCTGGACTTTTATTATGAATTCCACCCTTACTTCAGTGCAATGTTACGTCTGTCCATTCAGAAGTAAGCTTGTAAAGTCCAAAGGTACCCAGAACTGTATATTCTTAATAAAATAAGAAACTGCTCATGTGAACATTGGGTAAACTACTTTGGCATGTTCAAATTATCTAACCAAAGAAAG